GATTTATTACTGAAATAAAGGGATTTTATTTATTTATTTATTCATTCACTGATTTATTGTTAGCACTTTGGAGACTGCCTGACTCCTGATGACTTTGGGCATTAGATTTACAATTAAAAAGATGAGAGAGCGAGAAAGAGACAGACAGACAGATAGATAAAAAAAAACATAAACCCCATGAAGATGGGCATATGAACAAAGAACTCATCTAACTGGGGCTGTACCACCAGCCTATCCCAAAGCCAGGGAGAATAGCCAGGTCTTCAATAGCTTCCTTAACATCATCAGCTTGGGAATTATCCAGATAACCCAGGAGTTGAACTAATATTTTACTGTAAGACAGGGTGCATTATGATTGACTTGGATCCATTGCTACTGTAAGGCATTCAGATTTTTAAAAGAAAGTGTTAGAACTAATTTTTCTCCCCGTTCTTATATGGTATAAATAGAAAATGCTAGAAATTGATTCTTAAAATGAAAACATTCTAAATCATAAAATATATGGTAAAATGCTAATTAAAGTTTGAAGAATAAATCTCTAAGTTTAAAAAGAATGTAAAGTATCTGGTACTGAACTTACATGTTAAATCCAGGACTCTTTTGTAGTATTCACATAGTGAAATTCTGATACTGGAATTTGACTACCTTTCAACTGAATGATATATTTCATCTACTTGCTTTAATAACTTCTAATTATATATTTACTATTTACATATTTAGGTTAGCATTTTATTGTATGAAACTTACCATATTTATATTTTCATTGGAATTTATTTTGATATTGCAGAAGTTTCATGTGTTTACAGTGTCTACCTTGACAAATTTCCTCTATCCATTAGTCAGTATTGTAACTGAATTTACTTTTGGTTCCTGGTTTATTTCCCTTACAACAAAGCATTTATTTTAGGAACAAGGAATGAGATTGTTATGTATAGGCTGTAAAGTACATAGTAATAAAAGCTACTGAGGTATAATGTGATAGAGAAAAAAAATTGTTGTAAGATGCAAAGTTAAATGGGCTGCATTCTCAAGCAAATGTGTTTATTAAAAGGGAATGTACAGTACTTGAGAAAAATGAGATGCTTTTTAAAAATAAAAGTTCATGATTAGATAAGTTAGGAAAATATGTTTTTACAGTACATTTAGAATTAAAAGTACAAAAAAGTGGTTTAAAAACTTGGTCTGGTAACAGTTGGGAAATATATCCTTGTCATTCTCTTGGTAGTAGTAACTAGTTTTTCTCAAATTGTAATACAGTTAAGTAACATTAATGACTAACTTGAATAAAGAATCTTTCATTTCAAATGCAATATAGAATGTTTACATTTAGTATTGTCTCCGTGGAAACAATTACTACTTGTGTTTTTTGTATCAGATATGATTTTCCAAAACCTCAGCCTTCTGAGAGGATGCACTTGGGAGTGGTAGCCTGTGGTGAAAGATTGGAGGAAACCATTACTATGTTGAGATCAGCCATTATTTTCAGCATCAAACATCTTCAGTTTCATATTTTTGCTGAGGAATCATTACATAGTGACTTCAGAGAAATAGTAAGTATTCAGAAAAGAATGCATGCTTGGATTAAGGTAACTTTGTCTTTTTCCACTAACCTTAGGGCTGCTTAATTTCAATATGTAAATCTGCCAAGATCTGAATTCAGTGAAGATTTTTTTTTCAACTTTGTAATTGGGAAACAATATGTTTTCATGAGCAAAAAGCATGTAACTTGGGAATACTGGCAAATTATATGCTGTGATCCTCTGGTGGATGTGATGAACCCCTACTGCCTTCTCAGTCGTAAGTGGATCTATACTACAGTGTTCAGCAGTTGCACAGCAATCTCCAGCTCTTTGAACTCTGAAATTGAAAAGAAAATTAGCAATAATTTGTTTATTGAAGAGCTAATTAGATAGCTGTCTGTTCAACTGTTTCCTGACAAAGCATGTCTCCATTTTTTCAATCCATTTCTGAGCTAAAGAAAATTTCTCCGGAGTGTTGTTTGGCTTTGGAGTCAGCCAAAACTAATAGCCATGACCAGGGAAATCGAGGATTCTCTTTCCATTCCAGAACCCTCTAGCAGTCTTTCTCAACTGGGGTTCTGCAAGAGGTTCCGAGCAGTTTCTTGAGAGAGCATGATTGGGGAAAAAATGGTGGTTTGAACTTTGCATGCCATGCAGTGCTAGCACTTGCAGTAGTGGGAATTTTTATGCCCTGCAACTCAGCTATCAGTTTGCTGCTTTGCTGTTGTCGTAAGCATTGTAAAACATAGATTGTGTAGGTTAGAAGTGAAATATATTGTGATTTGAGCTGGGGGGGGGGATTTTTAAGCAGGGGTTTCCTGAGACTTGAAAATTGAAATAATGGTTTTTCCAGAGTAGAAAGATTGAGAAAGACTCCTCTATAGCATCAACCTTAGAGCTAATGAGGGGAGTAGGAATTTCCCACCAAAGCAATTCAGAATGCATGTGCACCTGCACACTTGTTTTTGTTTCTTTTCTTCTAAGTGTTGGACCTGTGCAGATCTCATCAATGCCATGAAGCAGTAGCACCTTCTTTAATACTCTACTGAGGCTGCTTTATAGTCCTGAGAAGTGAAGGATCTAGAAAAGTCTGAATTGATGGAAGAGTTTTCTATGGTCAACCTTTGAGCATAGGTGCCTGCATCTAGAAATTTTTCAGGCTATTCAGTATCTACAAAATGTTCATAGCATATTTTAACACTCATGCTATGATAGAAGTGTAGTCTTATAAGAAGCATGTAACTTCTTAAATTGTCAGTACAATGTTTTTAACTGCGAATACAGGCAATCTTAAGTTATGGTCTTGTCTTGTATAAGGTGTGTATGTAAACCAACTTGGTGCAGTGGTTAAGGTGCTGGCCTAGAAACCAGGAGGCTGTGACTTCTAGGCCTGCCTTAGGTATGAAAGCCAGCTGGGTGACTTTAGGCCAGTCACTCTCAGCCCAATCCATCTCACAGGGTTGTTGTCGTGGGGAAAATAGGAGGTGGGAGTATTAGGTATGTTTGTCACCTTGAGTTATATATGTATTATTATTATTATTATTATTATTATTATTATTATTATTATTATTATTGGCTTATGGTGATTTTGCCAATGCCAATGGTCTTCAAGTGGTACTCTAGATGTTTTGG